CTGTTTCTTTTTTGCAGCTACAAAATTAACCTTTTAAAACCAATAAGCTAATTTAATAAACACTTTCTTGGTGAATATTCTAAGCAAAATCGTCTCATATAGAGTTTTTTCCTTTGGTGTTCTAGAAATGTAAAATAAGACTCAACACGTGAAACACTGTATTTTTTTCAGTAATTTAAGCAAGGGCAAGACAGTAGAAACAAGTGTGTATAATTAGAGAAGCAAACAATGGTATTGTAAAATTGAGGGAATTTTAAAAATAAATATGATAAAACCAGCAATAAAATGCTTAACCCCATGCAGAACAGCTCTCCAGTAATGGGAAGTGTTTGCCAACCCTCCCGCCCCTCTCACCACTAGACAAAGTTTTAAAATAAACTTTTTTTTCTTTTTCTTTCTCACTTAAAAATAACTGGGGATCTTCTATCAGAGTCTGAAGTGAATGGGGATTAGGATTAGCAAAATTAGAATAAATGTTTTTGTTTTTCACAGAAGAGGAGGGTGGAGAGCTGGCAAAAGCAAGGGTCAGCCTTCCAGGAACGGCAGAAGAGGAGCTAGGTAATGTATTGATAACTATCTACTTCAAATACACCTAACAGTGTCAAAACTAATCCACAGGGATTAATCTGCGTAACATTTCCTTTTGTCTTTGTGGATACGGTGTCAACTCTTTACTGATGCTTTTCAAAATTCACAAGATCCCTGAAACTAGTTTCCTGAGAATATGTGGAAATTGCCAAACATTTAAAAAAAAAAATCAAGAAGCTAATGAGAAAATTATAGACCAGTGAGTAGAACTGTGTATAATCTTGTAAACTCTTTTAAAGGGATATGGTGAAACATTTGTGAAAAGTTTAATTTTAAAGATGGTTTCAGGTCCTGCTATGGTGGTGATTTTATTTTCTGTATCTAAGGTGAAGTTTGAAAATAATTTTCCTATTTTAACCACAGAAGACCTTACTTCTGAAAATTCAGATTCCATCTACAGCTCAACTCCTGAAGTTAAGGCTTGACCATCACAGCTGTTATGCAACAAATGGACATAGAGACTAAATCAAGCAAACGGTGATAAGCAGCAGCCTTCCAGAGTGCGCTCTCTACATAAGGCAAAGATGGGCAGTAATTGATGAGAATGTGTTGGAACTGGCTAGGTGGTATCCATAAGAGAACTGAGTATCGAAAAAGACAAGTAGTAGAGTTTTGCTATATTTTAGCGCACGTGCCTACTGTCTTTTTGAATGAAGTGTGCAAGCCAAGATCCAGTCTCTCCAATTTCAATTAAACTTACTCTGTAGTGTGTTTTCTTTATTATGGAGAAAAAATGTAATGGCTTTTACCAGTATTTTTTCTGAAAGCTGAAAGATGTGGCTTTAGTTGTAAAGAAGGGATTATGTGCTCAAGTATTTGGTTCGGTTTTTCTGTTTCATTGTACACCGCTTCTGAACATCTAACCGTTTTCAGTTGTCTAAATAAAATGCCTTGACAACAGACTCATATTTTATTGTTGTTAACATTGGGTTCATATTCATTTTTTTTAGTATTCTGCAAAGAGAAAAAGGGAACAAGAGCATTTTTTCATATTAAAGTCTCTGGAATAGTGGGTGACAGGTCCCTGCTTCACAAGTGTTGTATCTTTTATTCTTTAAACTTAGTTAAAATCTCTAAAAGATCAATTTTTGAAACACCTGAAGTATATACTGCAAAAATATTTTGGTTGTACATCAGAATTGTTTCAGAAGCTGACCATATTCCTTTACAGTGGATTTGTACAGAGCATGCTTTTAGTCATCAGAACTGGCTTACAGAATAGGTTTCTCTTTTCCTTCAACATAAACCATATTTTTCTTCATTAAAGCCATGTTATTACCATACTTAAATTTGTAATGTCACTTATTTAATATTGTATAACTTTTCATTTGTGTAGTGCATGTGTGCAGCAGCCTGATAGCCACAACTTTCTTCCTTTCTGAGAGGTAATAAAGGCATTATTTATCAAATAATGTGGCTTCAAGAGAAGTAGCTTTTGACAAAACAGTCTTCTTGCTGTTATAGTCTGCCAAATAAATTCTAAGTGAACCAAAACGTGAATTTCATGGCATGGGGATGAGGATTTTAAAATGTTTTCTGTACTTCTGGTGTTCAGACTTGCAGCCCTTAAAATACCAGAATGGCTCCTTGAAAAGAAATAATGATATTGTAGCTTTATCATACTTGTTAAGATTGAAAGGAAATTTTAAAAGCTACCTCTGTGAGTGCAGTTAAGCGTTCAAGTGGATTTATAAAAGTTAAAATAAGTCAAACATAGTATGATTCCTTGTTTTCTTTCCATATTTTAAAGTAGTAGTAACTGTCAAATGTAATTTACAGTAAAACTATCTGACCCTACTTTAAAATAGACTTTACAGAAGTAATACTTCATTGCAGTGGAGGACTGGAAATAGACAATGCCAAGATTTTAAATGAATAGTCTAAAATTAGACTCCTAAATCCATATTTAAGTACCTTCCTAATTTTCAGAACAGTTGAGCATCCAATAGTTCATTGGAAGCTACTTAGGTGTTCACCTTTTTTCAAAAATCAGGCAACTGCCTGGTGGCTTCCTCTAGCATCAATTGGAACTATTGTGTTCTCAACATTTCTGAAAAAATCAGGTACAATTCCAGTTAGTTGGAATTTAGCTTTTCAAACTATCACATCTTGAAGTTTGTGTTGAAAAGTACATAGTTGCTTTTTAATCTAATTTTTAAATTGGTCTTTACCTAATAGCTTAAAATACTATCCAAATTCTATATGATGTATCAAAATCTTGTAGCCCTGACCCCTGCTCTCTTGCAGTGGCCTATCGAAGTGAGATTTTGCAGTTTCTGGTGCTGGAATGAAGGATGGGGACCAAAACAGCCATCATAAATAAAAAGGTTTTGGGTGTGAGACCACATTCTTACAAACTTTGAAAAATGTGTGCATAGGGAAGGTAAATAAGGTCTAACAAATTTTAGATTTGTATGCTGTGACATTCCCCTCTGGTGTTATCTGGACCGGTGATCTATTAGGTCACTCCAATCCTTCACTCTGGGAGCCAGCCTTACCCTGCTCTGCTGTGAGAACCCCCACTCCTGGGCTGTTCACGTACAGCCTCTGGCATGTAAGCTGCTCCTTGGATTGTGCAACTGAATGACACTAGCTGATATCTTCAGTCCCAGACACCAGGAGTCCTAGGAACCTCCTTGCAGTGTCCAGTTATGCCCACTGGATGCTGCAAGCTTTTATGAGTTTGTCAATTTAACAAAGAAATTGATATGTACTAAGCTTTTTATCCCAAGGGCGGTCTCTGACACGCTTTCAACCAAATGCACTGCTTTAGGTAAAATAAACAGACTTATTAACTATGGAAGATAGATTTTAAATGATTATAAGTCAAAACATAAGTCAGATTTGGTCAAATGAAATAAAAGCAAAATGCATTCTAAGCTTCTCTTAACACTTTCAGTGCCCTTACAAACTTAGATGCTTCTCATCATGGGCTGGCTGATTGTCCTTTAGCCAGGCTCTCCCCTTTGATCAGCACATCAGTTGCTTGGTGTGGTGGCTGTAGATGTAGGTGGAAGAGAGCGAGCGAGCCTGGCAACTGTCTCTTCCTTTTATCATGTTCTTTCTTCCCTCTTGGCTTTGCTCCCTGCCCTCCCTTCAGAGTCAGGTGAGCATTACCTCATCGCAGTCCCAAACTGGCCAAAGGAAGGGGGGTGACTCACTGGAGAGTCCAACAGATCCTTTTGTTGCTGCCTAGGGCAGCGTCCTTTGTTCCTGTGAGACTGGGTTTGTCCCATACCTGCCCTGATGAGGTGTGAACTATCTCTCTGCTCTTGGAGAGTTTTTGCTTGGGCTTATTTTAAGGCATGAGGATACATTTTCAGCCCATAACTATGTACATGAAATTATAACCTATAACATTACTGTAACAACAATGCTCAGCGCATCAGGAGCCTTCCGGAGACACCTGACATGACAAACTGCATTAGATACCACACAATTATTTTACAAGGATGAACATGGGGGTGCTGGGTGTTCCCCTGTGGTACAGAGCACCACATACACAAACTGAAAATAGATTTTATCAGAAAGGGAAACACAATTAGCTGTGATTTATTACGAGGAAGAGAAAGTATGTTGCTGAAGCTAGATTTTTTTGCGGGCTGTTTATACTGAAGACTAAAGTCTGGAGAATTCCAGGAGCTGGGTTAGCTGTGAGTGATGGCTTATTTTTCTTTTATTCAAGGCTGTAAATAAAAAATGCATTTCACAGCTGTGAAAAGAAAGGCCACACACTATTTTTTTGTGAAAAAATTTCATGTATAGCTCTAGTGGTTTAACTAAAACTACCCAAGCCCTATACAGTACCTTTTTTTCCAAAAGAAGCGTAAGATGGTGTTGCGCTTACCAAAACGCTTGAACCAATTTAAACAGGCACCAGCCAGCATTCCCTACCAGCCGACAACAATTCATGGGTTTCAGAGTAGCAGCTGTGTTAGTCTGTATCTGCAAAAAGAAGAGGAGTACTTGTGGCACCTTAGAGATTAACAGATTCGTTGAGGGAGCTGGTCAGCATCCCCTGGATGGAGAGTGCCAGGTATAATTGTGCTGGGGCAGTGGCTTATGTCCCCTGAGGCATACACAGCAAAGTGTGATTGTGCATGTGGGGAAGATGCAGTGGTTGCTTTCGATGCCGACAGCAACGCACGAGTGCATAATGGAGGAGGGGAAGGAGCTAACGACGGGCTGTCCCCGCCTGCAGACAGCAATGTAAGGGTGGGTTATTACTGGGGAGCGCGAGTTCCCCAGACTCTCCTTCCGAGCAGAAGGGCCAGATTTGAGTTTGGTGGGAAGGCGCAGCTGGGCAGCGCGGAGCTAGCGCACCAAGCCCCTCCCAGCCTGGGTGGGGGAACGAATGACCAGCCTAGCCCGGGATCCGTGTTTCCTGCCCGCCGCGCGAGGGGAGGAAGCGAAGGGCTCAGCAGGGGCGTACCCAGGAAGTACCGCACTCAACCCTGCTGCTTTGGCCCGAGCGGGGGTCCTGTTGCTGGTGCTGATCATGTCGGCTAGAAACCCGGGCACAGAGCTGGGTAAGGGACAGCAGCTGGTCTTCCCCACTGAGCAGCCTGCACGTGCAATGGAGGGGTGGGGGCGTGCAGCAGCCACACGGAGAGAGTCGAGACATTGTCCAGTGTTCAGGTGCCTAGGGGACAGCACTGACTCCTGCCCAGTGGAGGTGAAGCTGTCAACAGCCCATTGCGGGCGCTAAGGATCTTACCCACCCCAGACCCTGCCTGAGCCTTCAGGGAAGGGATGTGTGTGCAGAAGTAATAATGGGACTCCCAAGTTTTGTTGTTGCTGGTAGAGCTGTGCCTCCTGGACAGCAGAGAGGTTAGCATGGGCCAGCTGTGACCCAACCCCATGACATATGGACCCCTCCAGAACAGTTAGTATCAAGGTGGGAAGATGTCAATTTCCACAAAACTTTCATCAGGAAGGACAGAGAAAGAGAGGCTCTCTCTAGCTGGGTGGCTGGGGTACTGGCCTGGGGTACGTCTTACACACTCCCAGTTTCACTTCTGTGAAACCGTTTGAAAGTTTGTTTTTTTTTGTTTGTTCCAAAGCTCAAAAGTTGCTGTGCTATGGATTTGTCATCTTGGGGTTGTCTCTGTCTGTTTGCACTATTACTTGCTAACTTTTTATATGATGAATTATCCTGCTGGTGCACTGTCTGAGAGGAGATCACAGTTTTAAAGGAGTCTGTGTATTATGTAAAATTGTTGAGTAGCTTTTATGAGCATATTTCAGCCTATGGCCTCATTCATGGTTTTGACGATTAAATATTTGGAATTTGCTCTTTGAACTTAGTGATTAGTCGTCTGTGCGACACGGTATTTTTCTGTTTTCACAATGGTTGACTTTACTTTTATGAACTGCTTTCTTCTGAAATTGATTATTTTCTTGGTTAAACAAATGTGGGGTCTTGGCCCAAAATTTGCTGTCCATAAACATTTGTGAGAACAAAAGTCCAAGGGTGCAACTGCTCACAAAGCAGTATGAAGGGGCTGATTCCAACCCTGGCTTATAATCCCAGGATGTGTTTATAAAACAGATTTTCACACTATTTCAGTAGTGACCACCCCAAAATGTCAAATATCCTGAGTCAGGGCCCCCAACGTCATGAGACTGGCTTAAAAAATCATAAGCCATAAAAATATGGGTTATTCTTATTTTCCTTGTTCTTTAGCCTTTAGGCTAATCGTGGGTCACATTGTCAAGCTTTTCTCCATAACCATGAGGCCTGGAAATATATTTTGTTGTTAAATGAATGCTGAGATTCACTTGTAATCATCTATCTCCAGAACCCGAGGCTTTAAGTAATACCCCAGTAGGGCAAGATTTAGAAAAACATTTCAGGAGTTGTCACCACTGCTGTTCCAAGCAGCTTTAGACAAATGCCAACAGTGCCATAAAAACAAGGCAGGACTCCCTACCCTGATTGTTTTGTGACTCTAGGGTTCTGACTGAATCAATGTTTTCTCTGTTCCTTTCACCATCCTTATTGGGTGGTGAGAGAATGGGATGTTTTTCTACTCATTGCATCCTCATGTGTGAATCAAGGGATTCACCTTTCTCTGTACATTCCTTTTTCTTTCCTGGAGTGAAAGCGATTATTTTCCACGCCTGGACTGATTCTGAGTTTCCCACAAGATTACTGGTAACAAAATTTTTGTTGCCCTCCATTACATTATCTTTAACCAAAAGGACATCTTTTATTTCCATCTCTTTGAAATGTTGCATTTCCTACAAGCAAGCTGCTGAATTACTGTGATCTAGTGCAGCAGCTCTCAACCTTTCCAGACTACTGTACCCCTTTCAGGAGTCTGATTTGTCTTGCGTACCCACAAGTTGCACCTCACTTAAAAACTACTTGCTTACAAAGTCAGACATAAAAATATAAAAGTGTCACAGCACACTATTACTGAAAAATTGCTTACTTTCTCATTTTTACCACATAATTATAAAATAAATCAGTTGGAATATAAATATTGTACTTACACTTCAGTGTATAGTATATAAAGTAGTATAAAAAAGTCATTGTATGAAATTTTAGTTTGAACTGAATTTGCTAGTGCATTTTATGTAGCCTATTGCAAAACTAGGCAAATATCTAGATGAGTTGCTGTACCCTCTGGCAGGGCCGGCGAGTTATATGGGCCCATGGTGCCCGTGCTCCAGGAATATTCAGGGCCCGGGGGCACGGCTTCACCAATGTTCGGGGCCAAGTCTCTCCCCCATCCCTGCCTGCCGCCCCCATGCGCCTCCCCTGGAGCATCTCCTGGCCCTGCCTGCTGCCCCCAGGCAATTTAAAAGGGCCCGGGGCCCCCCGGCCACCACCACTGGCAGCACAGTGAGGCTAAGGCGGCTTTCTGCCCACCCTCACTCCGCGCCACTCCTGGAAGCGGCCGGCACATCCCTGTGGCCCTGGGGGGGGGGTTTGTCTCCGCGTGCTGCCCCTGCCCCAAGCGCCGACTCCACATCTCCCATTGGCAGGGAAATGAGGCCAAAGGGAGCTGCAGGGGCAGTGCCTGGGGGCAGTGGCACGCAGAGATCCTCCGGCCCCCCCGCCTAGGAGCTGCTGCCTGAGGTAACCACCTCACCCTCTCTCGCACCCCAATCCCGTGCCCCAGCCCAGAGCCTGCACCCCTCCCGCACCCAAATTCCCTCCTAGAGCCTTAGGCAGGTGGCGGCGGGGGGGAGGGGAGGAGGCAGGACTTGGACTCGTTTTAGGCACCACCAAAAATTATACAAACCTGCTGCCCCTGCCCCCTGGAAGATCTCTGTGTACTCACAGGAGTACGCGTATCCCTGGTTGAGAACCACTGATCTAGTGGATGATCTGGGGTAACTTGAAGTGACAGGGACACTAAAGAGTCATTCTCCTATCTGAAAGGCATCTTTTTGCTGGCATATGTATGATAATATTCAGTGTGTGACTCACACCATCATACTGGAGGGTATGTGTAAACCTTATTCATGCAGATTACATGTGTTTTTTTTAAACACTAACTTTAATGTTCACATCTTATATAGTGATCACCTATGTGGTTCACTGTGAAGTGTTTATGTAGAATCCTATAATATTACCAGGCAAAGCAGATTGTATCCCTCTCAGTAAATTGTCCTCAAATAGATCCACATATCTAAGTGAATATAATGGAGGTAGTATTGTCTGGTGGATAGGTTATGGGACTAACTCAGGGGCACCTGGTTTTTATTTCTGGCTGAGTTCATGAGTTGCTGCATGACCTTGGCCAAGTCACTTAACCGTTCTATACCTTGGTTTCTACCTTCTACAACAAAACTCCAAAATAATGATTTGTAAAGTACTTTGAAATCTACAGCAGAAAAGCACTACATAAATTTATTATTTCCATTCATTCTCTGTAATTCACATTCAAGTATGTTCAAAACATTTCTATAGCAAGTATTCCCTTCTGAAATTAATTGTTTTCCCCTCTCCAAAACAGCTCTCCTCCTTGACTTATTTTGAGTGCAAGATTATAGTATGGAAACCACTGTGGGATCCATCAGGATCAATGGTGCCATTTAAAATGTAAAATAATGTTAGAGGTTTTCCTGCCTGCATATTGGAAGAATGTTTTAAATCCATTTCTTAAAGAATATTAATATTTCAGGTCTGGTTTTTTTTAGTTAAGTAAAACCTTCTTTATGCAGCGACATAGACTGTGTCCCAAATGTTAAGGTGCTTTAGTGTTGGGAATCAAATCTGAGACACCTAGGGCCAGATTTTCTTCTGTTGGACTTATGGGTGCTCAGCATTTCTAAAAAAACCGGGCCCAAGATGTTCCAAATTGGGCACAAATATAATAATAATAAAAAAAATCAAATGCTCTTTTTGAAAACTTTGCAGTGCTGCTGTTTTAAATATTTTTGGATTGCTTAGGTCCTGTATGTATTAATTCTTTAGATGTAAAATAAACTTCAAGCAGAAAGAGTCATTTAAAATAAAGTGCATTGTGTGGACAGAGCATGCAAACAAGCAGCTGAGGGCACCAATGGATTCTCAAGAGGCAGTGATTTAACTGTCAATGACATATTTACACTGGGGAATGCAGAGAATGAATTTGGTCGGATCACCTGAAAGTTTTTCATATCAGAGTCAGAAGCATAAAATAAAGACACTTGGAACATTTACATTTCTGCCATTTTCATGGCTTTGCTATGATGGCAGCTGCCCAAACCTTTTCTCCTAGACCCAGGCAAAATGGGAGGGCTCAGCAGGTATTCTAAGGGCTTAGCTAGTTTATGCTAATGTCTTTTCAATGGCAGTGCAAAGCATTTGCCTCATGCCTACCTGGCAGTGCTTGCTGCACACAATCGTTGGATGGTGATTCAAGGTTTCTAGTAGACACCTAGTGGTCAAATATATTTACAAAGAATTTTAAAAGATTATTCCATTTGATTTCTTCCTTTCTCTTCTATTCTATGCAAAAACATGTCACTTGTACATCTAAAATGTCTTATAAGGTGCCAGGATTTTAGCACGCCTATCTTTTCCATAAATGAAAGTGAGACTGTTGTCCTCGACTCATGCCATATAATATAATCACTCTTTGTTTACGGCAATTTTACATTCCTTATTTTCTGTAAAATAAAGTATAAAAAAAATCATTAATTCCATCTTCTTGCACCCTCCCCCACTGTCCCATAATATCAGAAGAAGATAGTTACTTGATTAAAACTAAGGGCAGGTGCAGTTAGAACAGATAAAAGGAAATACCACTTCGTACAGAATACAGTCAGCCTGTGAAATTTGCTTGCCACAAGACAGTCACGTACTGAAGGCAGAGTCTGAAAGGGGCTAGAGGATTTTACAGTCCAACATTTTTAGCTATACATGCTGAGATTGGGGAATAAATCTCTTGTATTTATGTATAAACTGACTGTCACAGGCATCCAGGGAGGAAGGAATCTGCCCTCTCCCCTCCCACACTGCTTCCAAAGATGCCCTGACCAGGTGCTTAATCTGCGTGTTTTACCACTTTCCTCTCAAGCACCAGGTATA